TATATATATGTGTATATATATATATATATGTGTGTATATATATATGTGTATATATATATATATATGTGTGTATATATATATGTGTATATATATATATATATATATGTGTGTGTATATATATATATATATGTGTTTATATATGTTTATATATATGTTTATAAATGTTTATATAGTGTTACATAATTTTTAGACCCCTTTTAGGCATCTGAATTTGGTAGCAGGCCAAATTGACAAAGACCTTGTAGAATAATGTAGTATTTTAATTCCACAGCAGATAAAGTATGTAGTCTCTGTAATTAAGTCTAGGGGGAAAAATATCGGTATTGTTATCGGTTATCTGCCAAATAAGGTTTAACATATCGGTATATTGGCCAAAAATCCAATATCGCGCATCCCTATTCGCTGGGCATGCAAATTATGCCAAAAAAGAGACCTATAGGCCGAAAAATACGTAGTTATATTCTATTTTATTCATTTCAAGCAGAAATGGTGCTTTTAATGTTTTACAGACAAATCTTTATCACCTTAAGCTTGTTTTAAATGCAGATAAATCGAAGTTGATGCTGTTTTCAATTGGAAGATTTGAAAGTAAGGATCTTCCAGTCATTACTACAGCTGAAGGTCTGAAAATCGAAAAAGTATCACAGTATAAATATTTAAGATTTTTAATAGATGATTATTTGTCTTTTGCTTCCCACATTCAACAGCTGGTGAAGAAACTAAGATTAAAATTGGAATTTTATTTCAGGATCAGATCCTGTCGATCTTTTGAGGATAGAAAGCGACTGGTTGATGCTACTTTTTTGTCTGTACTGGACTATGGTGATATTTTATACATGCATGCTCCTCTTAAATGTCTTTATTCACTGGATACTGTTTATCACAGAGTTTTAAGATTTATAACAGGTTTAAAAGGTTTTACACATCATTGCACTTTAAACAACCGGGTTGGATGGACGTCCTTGGCCACTCGTAGACTCTGCCATTGGCATATTTTTATTTATAAGGCCATACTAGGACTTCTTTCGTCGTTTTTGTTGGCCTTTATAAAGAGAAAGTCCACCGGAGGATACTTTCTCCGTTGTTAGAACTTATTTTTTACTTTCAGTGCTTAAAGTCCGAACTGAACTTGGAAAGAAATCTTTTCAGTTTTCTGCTTCATCTTCTTGGAACCAGTTGCAGAAATACATAAACCTAAAGGAGCTATTGTCACTAAATGTTTTTAAGGCTGTTCTTACTGATTTGGAGAAGGAAACAACTCTAAATGTTTTAACTGAGGAATTTTTGAATTAATTAGTTTATGACGGAGTTAACTTTTTCTGTTTTTGCTGTGAATGTTCTGTAACCTCTGTGTGCTGCTGCCATTCTTGGCCAGGATTCTCTTGCAAAAGAGATTTTTAATCTCAACGGGATTTTCCTGGTGAAATAAAGGTTAAATAAAAAAAATAATAATAATTTTTTTTGTGTTGTTTGCATTTTCAATTCTAACATAATTTTTAGTGTTTTTCTGGGGTTTTAGAAAGTCGTATATATCAGGAGTACAAGTATCAGGAGTATCAAGAGTTATTTGTTGACAGACGCTGTATGTAAATGTAGTCAAATGGAAACTGGTCAGAATACACTAATGTTTACTGGGTGGCTGTTCATTTTTTTCAGGAATTATTTTGTTTGAACCCCCCATTTTGTACCTTTTCCTGACGTTGACAAACAATTCTCTAAAAATACCTGTTTATGTGTTAAGAACATGACACTAATTTTGGCTGTGTTCACCACAGGACGTAACGAGCCACTGAAAAAAGATCGACCCAAGTGGAAAAGTGAGTACCCGATGACGGAGGGCCAATTACGCAGCAAACGAGATGAGTTCTGGGACACAGTGCCAGCTTTCGAGGGCCGTAAAGAGATCTGGGATGCCTTGAAAGCTGCTGCCATAGCCCTGGAGTGCAATGACCATGAGCTGGCCCAGGCTATTGTCAGCGGAGCCAATATCACACTGCCACATGGTAAGGGAAAAACAATCATAGGGCTGCACAACATATCACAAATTTATCATCATCAATGTCTCTGACTATTTTTTGGAAAAAACAAACAAATTGTAGACAAATATTTCAAGTAATATGCATTTATGTTCTGATGCTAATAATATATTTGTTCAATCTGATAGACCGTCACTGGCCTTGTTGCTCATATTTCATCCAAACGAGAGTACAGTAGTCCCTCATTTTATGCGGGAGATCCGTACCCTGAAGCCCTGTGATAAGTGAAAAACTGTGAAGTAGGAATAGTAGTACAAGTAGTAAGTAGTAGTTTATTTTTAGTATTTATATACCGTATTTTCCGCTGTAAACGACGCACCGCCCTATAAGTTTCATCAGTCCAAATGTCTTAACGAAGTAGACAGAAGTAGAAGTAGGAAGTAGAGTCTCTGATGAGCTTTCTTGGTCAGGCTGTTTTTTTTTTTTTTTTTTCCCTCTCTCTCTACTCCCGTGAAGTCGGGCGTGTTTTTCTGGCCTCCCCCTCCCCCCCCCCCCCCCGCTTGCACTCTTTCGTCTTGTGAACCCTTAAAGAGCCTCTTTTTTTCTTTCCTGCATACCTTCCTAATTCGAAGGATCAGCTGGTCTGTAGTACAAACGTACGGACGGGCCACCAGAATGTAGTATGAACATATGCTGATATATTCAAAAAATTAAACGGATTCTTTCATTTTTCTGGACTGTATAATGACGTGCATCTGAATTTAATAAAATGTGGACGGAAACGTTAATTATCTTTGACTCACCAACGACAGTGGGTCATTTATTAACAGAATCAAGTTTAACACATCACACATTTACATTAATTGGCAAAAATTGAAAATAACGACAGCTTATTTATTAGCAAGTTTTACAGGAAGTAAACAACACGGCGATTGTTCTCACTTCCAGTAATACAACAGACATTACCACACGGCTGTGGTTGAAAAACTTTGCTTTAGACATTTCTAAAAATATCTGGATTAATTTCTACTTGATAGAAGAGTTTTAAAGATGGAAAGATGAAGTTATCTTGAGAGAGAAGTGTGAGGGAATTTGTCTGTTTAACCAGATTTACCTGTATAAATAAAGGTTGATTGATAAATAAAGGTTGATTGATTTTACCTTTCTGAAGATATGTCAGTTCCGGTGTAAAGTTCCACTTCGAGCCATTTTTCAGCGTCTCCGTAAGAACAGCTAAACCTCGGAAGTCGTGAGGTCATCCAGGACAGACTTTTCATATTTCCCTTATCTTCTTTCTGTCAGGTTGATTTTTCTTTCATCAGAATCCTGAATTCCAGCCTCCATGAACTCTGGAACTGCTGTTAACTAGGACTCGACTCAAAACTTACTTGAACTAGGAAGTGCCAACATTTAAAGAAGCTCACTTCCGGTTCATTTGAGAACTTTCTGATTGGTCGATTGACCAAAACAGAGGTGTGTTTTGTGATGTAAGGTGTTATGAAAAGTCAAAGAAAAAGATCAAGATTGTTTAAGAACAGACAGAAGATTGTTATGAAGAAATCAGACTTCGTGGAGTCACTTCTCCAGTATCTTGCTGTAAAAGTTAAACATGACATTTCTTTTTCAGTAAACTTGCAGTTGACCGAAACTTGAACTTTGACCAACTTACACACTTGCTCACTTCAAACAGACCATCAAGAAATTGAATCATTACTCTGTAACATATTCCAACTTGATTTCACTTTGAATGAGGATTAAAAATCGTTATTACTGTTTCACAGTTGATTTAAAAATGAGTAGTTCACTTCAACATGTAAACATTGTTTGAACTAACACAATTTGATTATCAAACATTTGTAAAATAGTAATGATAATCGAGAGTAGTCTTCTTTCACTTGATTAATTTAAGAAAGAGAGTCTCAGGATGGGTCAACCTGTATTTCTGGATTCAAATCAATGAAATGACAGTTTCTGTCCCATAAGGTCTTAAGGTCAAGGTTTTGACCTTCAGGCCTAGTTCACTACAGGTCTCTCAACAAAATTGATCAACTTCTCCCGACAGGAGTCAGGGTATAGAGGACCCTCTTACCTCGACAGAAACAAATTGGATTCATGATGACAACTGTTTTTTGCTGTTTGGCTGGTGAATTCTGGATTGTCTATAAATTAATGTGTGTCTAGTAAAGTGGAAAAATCCATAAATATATCGCTTGGCCATATGCGTCGCCTATATTATGTGTCACTCACCGTTGACACGTCACATTTGTTATGTGTTGCATTTGTTATGCGTCACCACTGACAACCTGGTAATGTGGTCAGTGTTGTGTCAAAAATCAATTGGCTGCCAAATGGTGGCTGCAGGAGCATGCACTGGAGGACTTTAACAAGAATTTAACAAGACTAACACTTTAAACAATTATTTGTTTGCTTGAAATTATAGTAAAGGTGTGTCTCAGTTGAACTTTTCCTTAATAAATGCACTTCAGTGATCAAATTAGCTGCATTTCGCCTTGGCGGTGCAGCGAAATAAAGCAGATTTTTTTTCATTCAACCTTTTTTTTTTTTGGTGACGGTTGCTCCAGGCGAGCAGAACGAAGATGGCAGGCAATGGCAAGCCAATTGTGTCATTAATAGCCACGTTTACCTATTACATGACACAACAGCATGTGATACTACTCGAGTGCCATCTAGTGGCTGAAAATGGTAGTGTTCAATTTTTTCAGTCAGAATGAATGTAAACGGTTATATCTCTAGAAGTCCAGTCCAGAAGGAGTCAGCGGTAGCAGGCTAAGCTAGGCTTATCTCCAATGCGCGTTAAGTTTTTGCTTCAAAGTGAGTGCCCATGACCGTCAGAATGTGACTGAACAAGCGAAGAGAAAGCAGATGACATAACTGATAAGAAAGGAAAGATTAATTTGGCGGTGTGGAAGTGGTTCGGCTATCTAAGATCCGATAAACTGCATGTTTCAGTGTACTGCAAAGTGTGACGGAGAGTCGTTCCAACTAGCGGTGGGAACACATCTAACTTGTTCCATCTGAAGAGTTTCCACTTGATAGAATATGCTGAGTCAGAAGATGAAGCACAATAAAAGTTTGAGCCAACGTGTCCCTGAAACAACACCCCCAGCGCTGCATGGGTAGTTGTTTTTTTTTATTAAATTAATTTATTCATTAATTTAAAATAAAACAAATTCATCCATAAGAAAGAAAACATTGATAGAAAAGGGTGCAGAAAGAAGAAAAATAAATGATCTGCCCTTTTATTTAAAAAATACAAAATAACTACAAACAAACAACAACCTTCACTTGAACAATCTCCAAACTGAAAACAAAAAAAACTTCATGTATCCTTCACCTGGCACTATACCTTCCCAACAATTTTAACTTAATCATCTTTTTAAACATATAAATTGTTTTAGAAATGTTTATGGTGATATCAAGGCAATTTAATTGTTCAGACTAGTTCTAAATAGGGGTTGAACGAGTATATAAATTTTAAACTCGACATTAACATAATAAAACCCGAGTAGAACTCGAGTATTTGATGACATCATAGATCTCAAGATACAAAAATAAATAAAACCGCAAAAAAAGGTAATTATTTACGAAAAAAAGACCAACAAAACATTAGGAGCGTATATTATGCTCCTACCATTTATCATACTGCAAATAAGTCACAGGAAAAACTAAACTAATAGTTATTATTATTAAACTGCAAACGTGAAGAAACATGCAGCACGTCAAAAACGAAAATTAACGGGGGGGGGGGGGGGGTGTCGACCACCCCGCACCACCGCCAGCTGTGGTGCGCATTAAGTTTAGTTTTAGAGAATAATATGTTTATAGATTATTTTTATAGGTTTAAAGATGAATACTTTTTGCTTTTTGTTTGTGAAACAAGAGGAAGCTGGTTCTGGTTCGGTGGATTGCACCCGGTGTTACACCATACTCTGATACTCTGTGACCTGCAACAGTGCAACACCGCCCCCTACGGTCATACGGTGGTCATATAATATGACGTCACTACGGACACTCGACCTTACATTTTTAACCTCGATAGATGTTCTAACAATTGATGTGTAGATTACTCGAGTACTCTGTTAATGCCCTAGTTCTAAATGGAGATTTTACAAACATTTCCATTCCCTTAAGGTTATGACTCTTTTTAAACAAATTTTAATTGAATATTTGGGGGTAATATTTTTTATGAGCTTTATACATGACTTGTAAGATACTATATTCAATCAAATCATAACATTTTAATAATTTCAATTAATAGTTTGAATGAATAAATGATGAAATAATATATTTGTTGGGTGACCAAAGCACTTCCTACTAATAATTCTTATAGCTCCAAAAAAAGTTCAATCTGGTCCTCTGGACATTCAAAAACACAAAAAACAAAACAAAGCAAAAAAATGTAGAAAGGTTTCGTCTCTCATCTGAGAGACTTCCTCAGTCTGAGGTGCTGTATTCAGCTCAGTCTCTTAAATAGCACCTTCTCAGAGTGGATCAACCAGTTTTGCTGCTGACAACCAAAACCAGCTGATCACATGCTCAAGAAGGACCATCAGTCTAACAATGGGTCATTAGCACACTGATGGCTGTTTACTACTCACAGAGGGCTGAGTGATACTAGCAATCACAGCATTGTAAGAGGGGGACAGTTGAACCCGGAGG